ATTTTGGATTATTTGATAATTTTTCAAAAAAAATTTTTTTTCCAATATTAGTATGATTTTTAGTATGATTTATGAATCAAAGGGGGGAATGGATAATGTGATTCATGCATCATTTATGTATCATTTTTTAAATTCTTAGGTGAAATTGAGGTTTAATTTGAAAGTGGTTGTTTTGCAAAGGATACTGTTTGGTCGTTTCTTTTCTTTTCATTCCAGAAGCATTTGGGGGAACATGTGACTCAAAGACAATATGAAGGGACAATATGACTGGAGGAGATGAAACAAGGAGGGTGTGGCTGATTCCATCATTAACAAGTCCATTGGAAGTCGAGACTACGGAGGAGATGAAGTGTAGTGGACTACATTCCAGTGTCTGCAATGAAATATAGACATATTTGATGTGTAATACATAATTGTGTCATATTCTTAGGTATTGATTTTAGTAGAATGATGTTTGATGTTATTGAATGCAGATGAGGATCTTAGATGCTTTTGTTTATTTCGATGGGGTTTAGGGAAAGGACGTTAGGCAGGGAGAGATTCCCTTTCAGGTCCTATGGGTTGACCAGCCTGAGAGTGGATGTTTCTGGATAGGATTTTGTTTGCAGGGGAAACATGTGTATTTAATGGCATCATAGTTTCAAATGTATTTACATGGTTTATGAGTTTATCTGGAGTACCGACGGTGGTTGCCTGGGGCAGAGGGACCGTGAGAGAATTTTACTGTCTTGATTGATATGGATGGATGGCTGCCAGACAGTTTTTCGCTCTTACACTCCATAGAGATTTCTTCATATTTCATAGTAATATATTCACACTTCATATGTCATAGTAATGTATTCACACTTCATAAACAGTTGTTCATATTTCATAGTAATGTATTTACACTCCATAGAGATTTCTTCATATGTCATAGTAATGTATCCATACTTCATAAAACAGTTGTTCATATTTCATAGTAATGTATTTACACTCCATAAACAGGTATTTCATAGAAAGGTATTTACACTCTAGAGGAGAATGTGTTTGGTTTAATGTTAAAGATACTCAATAAGATAAATGGTTAATAGTCATAATCTTATTCTGTTTGTTTTCGAGACGTTTATTTCGTCTCGAAAGGGGGGAATATCGTATCTGAAGATTATGCCTTTGTTAAATGTTTTAGAGGGAACTGAAAGAATGTTGGTTGTTCAGGCCAGAGGGGGGATGTTTTATGATGTTATTTGAAATGTGCCGCTTGGAGGGTGACGCCCGAGGGGAGACTGGTGATTGGCCAGAAGAGGGGGTAACCCTTATTTTGGTATTGTCTATATAAGAAGGGTTTTAGACAATAAACCCCAGAGCAGCCCCTAGAATGGGAGGACACTGCTCTCCAGACCTCGCGAGTCTGTCATCAATGCTGAAGCTTGTGATCTGAATAAACTTTATGATCAAAGTTCAGTATGAGCGGACTCTTTTTGTTGACAGCAATAATTGCCACCATTCATCATATACAACAAACGCAACGTCAGATTGACCATGTAGTGCCTTTTAGAGACATCCCAAAAAAATCTGGATTCTCACGAAAACGTCTGTAGCGTCCAAACTAATATACCACTCTCACAAACACAATGGTGTTCTCCGTTTTGCTCTACGACCGCCACAGGTGTCACGGGACTAGTATGAAGGTAACCTGTACCCGTATCAAAAATGAATGAAAGTAGTTTTGCACCCCCCCCCCCAAAAAAAAATAAATAAAAAGGGGTTAAATGTAACATGTTCATAAATGGCAAAACAGACAGTCAAATAAAGTTAGCCATTTATGAACGTGTTATTCAATGTGTTTCTATGGACTATGGTAGTAAAGGCCAAATTAAATATTTTATCAAATAATACAAAATAAAAAGTATACATACATGGGTCCTAAAATTGGGGATATTCTACAAAGATCTGAATAAATATTATAGGAGACTTATTTTCCTCAATGAGAGTAATTTGCAAGTAATGTACTCTGTGTCTGTCTCAGCAAAACATGCTCTCAAACCATTTATCTCTACTGTGGCTTAGTTGGTTCAGCTTCCTGTTCAGTTAACATCACACTGAAATGCCGATAATTAATCTTTCTGACCAGTTCAAGGAAAACAACCAGAAACTAAATACATTTCAGACATCTCTGAACATGAGTGTTTTATTATTCCAGATACAAAATTGATGTAGCTCCTTTTACAAATATAAATGGCAAATGCAGCATGTCATATCACTACCCAAAGAGTTACGTTTCAAACAGATCAAGGAAAAACAAAATAATTCTACTTAAATAAAGACATTGTAAAGGCCTCAGAGTTTACATTGATACTCATAACAGTTAAATCACCCAACTTATATTCACCATACATAATATGCATTTAAGCGCATAGCAGAGAAACATAAGACATGAAACAGAATAGTTCAACCCCATTTCCTCCCCAGAGACACTTACAGTACATTATCATTGTTTTGGACTATCATTTGGATTATCATAGTTTGATTACATTAAACTATGATACACTACATGACCAAAGGTATGTGGACACCTGCTCGTCGAACATCTCATTCCAAAATCATGGGCATTAATACGGAGTTGGTCCCCCCTTTGCTGCTATAACAGCCTCCACTCTTCCGGGAGGGCTTTCCACTAGATGTTGGAACATTGCTGTGGGGACTTGCTTCCATTCAGCAGAAGAGCATTAGTGAGGTCGGGCACTGATGTTGGGAGATTAGGTCTGGCTCGCAGTCGGCGTTCCAATTAATCCCATAGGTGTTCGATGGGGTTGAGGTCAGGGCTCTGTGTAGGCCATTCAAGTTCTTCCACACCGATCTCAACAACAACAAAAAGTCCATATGGACCTTGCTTTGTGCACGGGGGCATTATCATGCTGAAACAGGAAAGGGCCTTCCCCAAACTGTTGCCACAAAGTTGGAAGCACAGAATCGTCTAGAATGTCATTAAATGCTGTAGCGTTAACATTTCCCTTCGCTGGAACTAAGGGGCCTAGCCCGAACCATGAGAAACAGCCCCAGACCATTATTTCTCCACCAAACTTTACAGTTGGCACTGAGAAACAGACGCCTCACATGTCCTCAACTGGCAGCTTCATTAAATAGTACCCGCAAAACACCAGTCTCAACGTCAACAGTGAAGAGGCGACTCCGGGATGCTGACCTTTTAGGCAGAGTTGCAAAGAAAAAGCCAAATCTCAGACTGCCCATCTTAATATTTAATTTTTATTGGCCAGTCTGAGATATGGCTTTTTCTTTGCAACTCTGCCTAGAAGGTCAGCATCCCGGAGTCGCCTCTTCACTTTTGACGTTGAGACTGGTGTTTTGCGGGTACTATTTATTAAATAGTATTTAATGAAGCTGCCAGTTGAGGACCGGTGAGGTGTCTGTTTCTCAAACTAGACACTAATGTATTTGTCCTCTTGCTCAGTTGTGCACCGGGGCCTCCCACTCCTCTGTCTATTCTGGTTAGAGACAGTTTGTGCTGTTCTGTGAAGGGAGTAGTACACAGCGTTGTACGAGATCTTCAGTTTCTTGGCAATTTCTCGCATGGAATAGCCTTCATTTCTCCGAACAAGAATAGACTGATGAGTTTCAGAAGAAAGTTATTTGTTTCTGGCCATTTTGAACCTGTAATCGAACCCACAATTGCTGATATTCCAGATACTCAACTAGTCTCAAGAAGGCCAGTTTTATTGCTTCTTTAATCAGCACAACAATTTTCAGCTGTGCTAACATAATTGCAAAAGGGTTTTCTAATGATCAATTAGCCTTTTAAAATGATCAACTTGGATTAGCAAACATAATGTGCCATTGGAACACAGGACTGATGGTTGCTGATAATGGGCCTCTGTACGCCTATGTAGATATTCAGCTGTTTCCAGCTACAAAAGCTATTTACAACATTAATGTCTACACTGTATTTCTGATCAATTTTATGTTATTTTAATGGACAAAAAAATTGCTTTTCTTTCTAAAAACAAGGACATTTCTAAGTGTCCCCAAACTTTTGAACAGTAGTGTGTGTGTGTGTGTATATACACACACAAAAGTATAAAAGTATGTTCATAAACAACGTAAAGTTACAGTGGAGAAATGCAAGTCTTTATTTTACTGAAAGTTTACTCAAATTTAATTAATTGAGTTTAACCCAAATCTCTTCAATCTACATGCAAACCAATTTTAGGATTCTTTAGCGTTTATTTGAGATGCGCAATTATTACTTTTCCACTATTATTGAGGCATATACATATGACTGGGTTAGATGCATAGCTTCATGTTTTGCATCCATTTCCCCAGTCATGTAGAAATCAGTGAGAAGCAGCCATTTAAGCAGGAGCACATCCTCATATGTACACCTTCTACTCCATTTTGGAGGTTTCTATCGCTCTGGGTCTTACATGAGTCTCGCACCATAGTCAGCAGGGATTGAACAACAGAAACATAACGACACCCAAACTAAAGACAACCCAATACAGTCGGCATTGGTTTCTTTTTCAGTCATACAAATTCATTTTTGGTCGTGTCAGGTCTTATTTTCTTTTTCTTAGAAAACAGTTTTTACATTAAGTTACAACATTGCGGACCCAACACAGTTATGCGGTCGGCCCAGTTCTGGTGCATCATGACAGTCACCAGTCTGATTATCGTGCTCTCTTATTCCCTCCCTTGAGAGAAGGAATAGAAGAAGCTGAGAGATGGCGTGACAAAGTCCATAGTTCCAGTGAGTTCTTGTGACACAGTGACAGAGGACACAGGTGAACTGGACATTGATAGGTGGATGGATGGATGGACAACCAGAAACGATGACCTCCCTATCCCACCCCCTACAATCCAACCAAATGTCTCCCAATGTCTTCTTCAGATTCAGAGAGCTACATTTGTAAAAGAGTCAAAGGCATTGCCCTGATATGAAAGCTGATGAGTGGGTTTACTGAATGAGTGAATGACTATGCATGGTCCTAGCGGTTGTGGTTGAGCGGTCATCGGGGTCTCTTGCGCGTGACGAAGATCAGGACCCTGCGGATGGCAATGAGGCGGTCCTTGAGGCAGGGCATGGCCAGGATGGTGAGCTGGGCACGGTTGTCAAGAGGCAGTACAGCCAACAGCCACCAAGCCCACGCTGGACCACTGGGATTACCCTGGAGGGAGGGGAGGAAGAGGAGGGGGGAGGGAGGGAGGAAGAGAGGGAGGGAGGAAGAGGAGGGAGAGAGCTTGATAACCGCAACACATTCAATCACTATATGACATGAGTGCGTGAGTCTCACCAAGAGAGACGTGTGTGTGAGATGGTTAGTTTAGTGTCATACCTGTGGGTCAGGGTCCTTCCCAGGCAGGTGTCCAAAGTGGCTGATTATCTGGCTCTTCATGTCGTCTTTGAGGGAGGTGAACCAGCTGCTGGCCTGGTCGTACACAGAGACATAAAGCTTCTGCAGCTCCGCTAACTCCTGGCCCTCCACCTGCCCACACACAATATAAAACAGTTAGCATACACAGTATACACACAATGGAAGACTGAGGATCATACACACACACATTAAACTTACAAAAGTGAGGATATGAATATCTATAATGCACTCTTTGTATCCACATACATGCATAACCTTCCTCACACAGCGTTTGCCAGTACACACCAACACACACACCTTCTTATCCTCCAGGTACTCGATCTTGGCCGTGTTGTATCCGTCTCTCTGGCCATGGCTCAGTACTTTGAAGCGAGACACGCCGATGGTGTCGACCACAGACCTCCCATCAGGGAAAAACTTGACGTCCCGGACCTCCAGCATGCAGCCGTAATCTGCGAAACCCTTCAACTCGTCAGCGATGCACATGCCAAACTGTTTGGTGCCGGTTTCCATGGAGCGGCGGATCATGAGGCGGTAGCACGGTTCAAAGACGTGCAGCGGACAGGGGATGGTGGGGAAGGCCATGGTGCACACAAAGATCGGCACTTCCTGGTTCAAGCTAGGGTGGAAGGAGGGACACGAGATTGGTCAGTGATTAGCATAAAAAGCAGGACTGTTGAAGTGCAGTTAACTCACTGAGGTTACTACTACAGGATTAATTTACCATTAAATCAATGGCTAAGTAAAGTGATCAAATCTGTGACTCACTTTGACAGTTCCTTCATCTCCTCCTCGTGGATCTTCTTCCTCTCCGCAAGCTCGTCTCCCAGGTAACGCTGCAGCACCTCCTCCAACAGCAGGGTCTTGTTGTACCCTCTAGTGGCCAGATACTGGAATTACAGAGAACAGAGTTTTTCCTTTAATGTTATAATATAATAATAATAATAATAATAATAATAATAATAATAATAATAAGCCATTTAGCAGACGCTTTTATCCAAAGCGACTTACAGTCATGCGTGCATACATTTTTGTGTATGGGTGGTCCCGGGGATCGAACCCACTACCTTGGCGTTACAAGCGCCGTGCTCTACCAGCTGAGCTACAGAGGACCATTGGTCTAATATCCTAGTTTAATCCCTGTGTCAGAGGAAGCTTTGTGCCAGCTTTGTTTTTGTCACGCTAAACCATCTCTCAGTTACAACAAACACAGAACATAAATTACATTCTATTACAGACAGCCAGTAAGCCATCATTTTCATAATCACCAGCTCTACCCTTCCATCCACATATAGAGCACAGCTACTTCGTGTGTGTGTGTGTGTGTGTCTGTGTGTGTGTATATACCTCGGAGAGGTTCTCTTTGCAGAGAGGGCAGTAGGGGTTGTGGTCCAGACAGCGCTCCAGACACTTGAGGCAGAAGGTGTGTCCACAGGGGGTGGCAGCAGGCTCAAAGAACAGCCTGGAAGAAACAACACAATAACATGAGCTTTATCAGTAGAGGTAATTATCAGTATTGATTGAAAATCAAACACCCTGAGTAGTTAATCGTAAAGATATAATTGTGTGGTGGTTGGTTGGTGGTCCTCTTACCTCATGCAGAGGGAGCACTCCATATCTCTACTGTCGAGCAGGTCTGCAGCCACCGTCCTCCCCCAGAGGGAAGCAGCAGGAGGGTGAGAGGTGGAGCAGGCTTCATCTGGTCTGAGCAGTTTGGAGGGAGGGCTGAAGGCTGGGCCGTCCCCACTGTGTCTCCTCTTGAGACCGCCTGGGGGGGCAGGCAGGGCAGCCAGGACACTGGCTAGGCTCTTGGCGTCTTCTAGCAAGGGCTTCTCAGCCTCACTGCTGGGGGACAGGGAAGGTTTGGAGGAGTCTGAGGGAACCTCACACAGAGAACTCTTCCTCACTCTGAACTCTGAGTCCTGGAGAATGGAAGAGAAGAGAGGGGTTACTAGGAGAAATAGGTGTGTGGGGATGTAAATGTGTGTGTGTGTACTGACCTGTGAGGAGCAGCCAGGCCTCGGTGGGGTGGTGAAGGGGTGTAGAGAGCCGAGCAGGGCAGACGGCTTGAGAAGGCGAGTGGAAGGACCACCCTGTAAAGGATGTTTGGGAGTGGGCTGACCGTCCTTCTCAAACACTGACGAGAACAGCTCACTAAGCACCTACAAAAACAGAGAGAACACACACTGTCAGTAAGTACGCTCATACAATGTCATAGCACTCATAAGTAGCTTATAACTCTTAAAATCACCCTCTGACGCTGGCTCTCTCTCATTCCTGACTTGCCTCAATGCTCTCTCTGTAAGAAAGGCATTTGAACTAGTACCCATAGTTTAAAGGGAATATGTGACAGTGGAAATACAGGACATGGCTCACATACTGAACAGACTGCCTTGTCATAGTGACAGTACATATTGCAGTGAATATGTAACAGCAGTGGAGATACTAAAACAGGCCACAGTGACAGCCGGGGATAGGGCTGGCGTAGCTCCCCAGCTAAGACAGCTGGAATGGGGGCATTGCGTCATCACCAACTGTGGAGCAGGATTTAAAACCAAACTAATCCTGTCTGGTAAGCATAGAGCCAGATTTACACTGTCATATCGTACATAGTGATACTGCATTAGTACCATAGCAACTGTGGTTGTACTGTCATTATTTATACTATTGTGATGTGACAATATGTTTGTGGTTGAGCTTGCATAATGAAAGTAAATGGACAAAAGTGTTTGAAACTTTTTACATTTTTGAACTCGCTTCAACAGGAATACTAAATTGAAACGGGAGGGGGGGGGGGGGGGGGGGGGGGGGGGGATTGTGCATTACCTTCTGGGCTTCCAGCTTTACCATCGTCCAATCAGGTTTCAGTGCCACACACAGGAAGTACTCCTTTAAGGCCTCATCATTGCGGTTGGCTTTACTCAGGGCTGAGGCCTTGATGTAGTGGGCCTGGGAAAACACAGCAAGAGGAAAAACATTTTGAGTAGGGACTACTCTATTGGCATTTCAATTATACCTCTAAAGTATATATTCAAAACGCTGATAACGGGTCATCTGAATATTGTTACAGTGACCTTCCTAAACAACTTAAGAGCTAACTTTATTTTTCTTTTTATGGCAAAACATGAGAATCTAATCCCCAATTTGGTAATCATTGTCATAACATCCAGGAGCTCTTCAACCAGGTCAACATAAGCTCTTCCCTATTCACGATGCCTGGGTTTCAGCTCTATCTGATCTATTCTGCATGTCTGTCAGCGGTGGTCATTTGCATATTAACATGCACACACAAGCGTGTAGCATCCAATCTCACCTGTGAACACAAACTCAGCAGCATCCAATCATACTTTAACACATACATACCTACACACAGTCCTAAGCATGTATAATGTGTTGGGTGCTAGCTGGGTCAGCCTGTGGCTGTGGACAGGTCATGGGTATTCATTACATAACTACGGCAGGTAGCCTAGTGGTTAAGAGCGTTGTGTCAGTAACCGAAAGGTCGCTGGTTCAAATCCCCAAGCCGACTAGGTTAAAAAAATCTGTAGATGTGCCCTTTGAGTAAGGCACTTAACCCTAATTGCTCCTGTAAGTCGCACTGGATAAAAGTGTCTGCTAAATGACTAAAATGTAAAATGTGAATAACTAGACAGACACATTAATATTTTAGGCCCAGATATGTCTATACTGTGCTGGGTAGATTGAGTTACATATCTATTTCTCTCACCTTTGGCCAGAGAGGTTTGAGTCTACACATGCTCTCTGCATCCTGGATGGCCTGGCTGTAGTTGCTACTGTCCAAGTGCAGCTCAGCACGCTGTCCCAGTAGCCGACCTACAGATGGCGCTGCAGAACAGAGAGAACAGGCAGAATGAGAAAATGGAATTTACACATTTTCAAACAGGTACATTGTTGTGAAGTTAGATGTTTTTCACAATATGACATTTGTTACTGAACAGAGGGCAGGCAGACAGCCTGTAAATGCACAGACTTGACTACAGTGAGTCAGACAACAACCAAATGCTTTTATCATGTGCAAACAGAAGACAATATTAAACATCTCCCTTGAATGAAAATAGTGCACTGTAATCTACCATGCACAATCTGTGCTGGGAATTAGGCCTACAATAACATGTATCACCCTTCTGGCTAGTGGGAAGGGGAGAGACGATAAGGTCGAAATTCTGATTAATGATTGTCTATTTTTGGCTAATTTCTGTGGATGATATGACTCCGCTGTGTCTCTGTGCCCAGACTTACACAACAGGGTCAGTAGCTGACATTAAAGCAGAAAGAATGGGGTCAGTCAGATCTGCTATGCTATGCTGTGGGGCCGGCCTCCACTGAAGCACCAAAGGGCTTAATCACACTGATGCTGGCTCGCTCTCACTCCTGACAGTGACTCAATGCTCTCTCTGTAGTAAGGGTCAGGACACACGTTTTTTCTAGGGGCTAATTAGGGGCCTGAGTTTTCCTTGTCAAACTTAGGTCACACCGTTGGGGAAAACAACCCCTGGCCATATCTATAGGGAGTGAACTGCTCAGGGCTGACCGGGTGTTTCAATGGTAGAACGAAGGAGGGGGGGGGAGTGACCTAAATCCCTGCAGCTTCACTAAATAAGAACCACATGGAGCATGTTGGGGAAAATGATAGCTGGTGGGGGAAAGACTGAATGGAGTTACATTTTAGAGTTCAGTCCATTTTAATGTAACAGCACAACCATTATGCAAATAATATTATATCAATCCATGGGGTATGAGACTCGGAGTCAGAGTAGAAATGTGGGTTAGGTAATCCGGGGGAGGGGGTAGGGCTCCTGGGTTTATGAAATTATTGCTTCGAATGCACTGTCGCCCTCTATCCGTGACACGATGTGGAATAGTGAAAAGTAGGTCATCTGGTCTACCAGATCTATCTGGTTTAAATCGGTAAAATGGTCACATAAAATACACAATCTGTTCTAAAACACAAGAATCCGACAATTGCTTATCCCAACTGTAAATGTTACATTATCTTACCCAGTTCTACGGCTTTGTTGTACTTCTCCAAAGCATCTGTGTAGTTGTGCTTCTTCTGTGAGACCTCACCTTCTATCCAATGCCTCCTGGCTTTACTTTCAGAGTCGAACCATTTATCCAACAAACTACTGAGGATGACATTTACTCTAAGCCCAATGGGAAGGATCTGTACGTCTTTTCTGTTCAGTTTATGTTTGCATTGTATGCAGTTTTTGACCGTTTCTTTTTCTAAACAATGTTTGCAAAATGTATGGCCGCACTCCAAGGTGGTTGGTTCGGATAGTAAACACCTACAAAGGCGGCATGAAAACAAGTCCAGGGGTTCGTCCTCAAAACCATCGTCTCCATTCCCACTTTTATGACAACTCGTTGCCTTCCCATGAATGTTTAGCTGCTTCTCGCGAAGGGTCCGTGCTATGTTTACAACCAAAAGCTGCAATTCGTCCGGTCGAAGTTTGCCAATGTTGGCCGCGGTGCAGTACGAGTCAAGCGCCTCTGCTATCCGCCCCGCCTGGGACAGAGCGTCAGCTTTGCGCAAACAGATGCCCCGGTCTGGATGCTGGAGGTCCACCAGCTGAGCGCTATAGATCTCCGCGGCAAGGTCGTAGTCACCTGCCCGGTTTGCTTCCTCTGCCACCTCGAGCATTTCAGTGCATATACCCGCTGCTCCAGGGTTGGATACGGCGTGGACAAACTGGTGAGTTTGGATTCCCGTCTCCATTTTCGTCTCGGACTATAACGTATAGCTAGCTAGCGGTGTTGAAAAGTGAACTGATAATCAGACAAAAACACTCCTTACTCCTCACAAAAATACTTCAGACTATCTTTTACATGTGCCATTGTGAAAGACTCGTGTTGTTTTCCAAGAGAAGAGCTAGTAGGCCTTATTCCGCGAGAGCCGAATAGAACACCCACCAAGCTGGTGACTAAAGTTAAAATAGTTCGTATGAAGACATCCCATTTTTTCAAAACCTATATATACCGATTCTGCATTACAGCACCGTAATGCCCATTCCCCGTGTACCTAACGTTCGTTGGCTGACATAACCAAACCTCCTATCTGTGACATAACTTCGCTAGCTACGCCTCCTAAAAATACAGCAAGAAGGCAACTGCTGGCTAGCAAAAAAATGTTGGCAACTAAAATCCTTAATCGGAGGTTTGCAATTTAAATAGCCAAATTAACTTCTGACAGTTAGAAAACTACAATTAAAAGGCAAGTATCTGGTCCTCGCCGTACTCTATCTTGCTGTTCAGTTGATGACTTCAATTTCAGAGACTTATGGCGGAACGAAGCGCACAGAAGCACGTGTCGCTATCTGTGAAACGTTATTGGTCCATTATATGGCTACGACGCAACATTGTATATAACCCAATACCATCAACATTGTAAATCGCCCGACACCTAATTCATGTAACAACTGGACGCTTCTTATTGTAACAATATGTTTTTATTTCACTAGAGAGACTATCCTGGTATGCTAATGTTATCTAGATTGTTATAATTGCACTGGTTATGTCACCACTGTTGGGGGGGGGGGGGGGGGTATTGTTTTATGTAACCATTTACATAAGAAGCAGAGCTAGAATTACCCTTACCCTTGTTTGGAGAACACTGTCAAACATATTGCAGTGATTTAAAAGACACGGAAAACTGCAAAAAGGTTCTGGTTTTAGATAAACGAGAAACATATAAAATATGTGTGCCTCTGAAATGTATATAGGAGGCTATTTGTATAGGCTACTGTAAATTATCTGTTGAATAATTCGATATTTATTTTATTGTGGTTCAAAAAAAGCTTTGTCATTCTTGAAATATGTGTTTTGCATATAGACATATTTTTTCTTTAATTTGCAATGATGTCTATACTGGGTGTAATCCTATCGTTTGAAAATGTGGTCAAAATTGCTGGTGGATGTCATTTTCAAAACAGAAACTTTAGGCATTATTCGATATGATAATAACAAGAATATGACCAACTCAGATAGCAGGCTAAGTAGCCATAAAATTTATAATTGTGTAATGGCTGTGGATGACTCTCCCTAACTATCTATTCCTCTCTCCATCTCTCAGCCAGGTAACAATAGTGTTTGTGTAATTTGAAAGTTGTATAAGACTGACCTCAGCTTTTATGATGATATTCATCTCCCAAAGTTTCGCATACTTACAGTATGATGATGCTGCCACTGGCAAAATGTTTAGAATGACAGGAACTTAGCTTTAAAACTGCAACATTTTCTATCAGCCTCATGGGATTTTTTTTATAGCATGAGTTTAGCTATAAAACTGCAAAATGTTCTGTCTGCCCCATGTGTAGAATTGCAGGAAGTAATCTGAGGGGTGCTTTCTCGGCCCTTGCAGGGGGGCCTCGCGAATCTGCGGTAAACCACTGGCTGCTGCTCTACGCATCTCAATGGTCTAAACTAAACAAAGAAAATGGGAATTCTGACATTAAGCAAGCACAGGGAAGATACTTCCTTTATCTTTCAGACACAATGTTTTGTGTTTAAGATTATTTCACACAGATGTTGCACCCCTCAAGGTAAACTCATTCAGTCTCTCATTTTGTTTCACCTGTCTAGTCTGACACAATCCATCCGTCATAGGACCACTGTGTTCCCTGTTGAGGATGTCTATTGTTCACATCTTGTGAAACACTCAGGGTTATTTTCCTGAATATAGAACAATCATATAGAACTATACACACTGAGTACAAAACATTAAGAACACCTTCCTAATATTGAGTTGCATGGACTCTACAAAGTGTGGAAAGTGTTCCACAGGGATGCTGGCCCACGTTGACTCCCATGCTTCCCACAGTTGTGTCAAGTTGGCTGGATGTCCTTTGGGTGGTGGACCATTCTTGATACACACGGGAAACTGTTGAGCGTGAAAAACCCACCAGCATTGCAGTTCTTGACACAAACCGGTGCGCCTGACACCTACTACCATACCCCGTTCAAGCTTATCGAAACGCGCACATTTTATGGCTTATAAAACTGTTGAACAAAGTGTTGACAGTGCTGAATAACAACTTAAACATTAACTTACTCATACAAATAGCAGCTCGTTGCTGTAATATTTGGGTCACTCTCTAGTCATGGTTTTAAAAGTTTTGAAATCTCACATTATTAACTTTGCTGTGCGTTCCATGCTTCTTTTTATAGTCTATGGCACGAGGAAACTGTGGAGACACGATGATCTGAGCTATTTGATTGGCCAGCGGTAGGCGTATAGGTACACTTGATTTGTTCTACGGGCCTGCCGGGTAGGCGGAGTTCTACCTTCAGACACATTAAATGGTTAAAAATGGGAACATTGTCACGCTCGTTTAATGACGGGTCAGACCAAGGCGCAGCGTGATATGCATACATGTTTATTTATACTGAATAAACACCACAACAAAACAATAAACGAAACGTGTAGTACAGAAAACAAACCTTACACGGAACAAGATCCCACAACTAGACTGTGCCAATAGGCTGCTTAAGTATGGTCCCCAATCAGAGACAACGAGCGACAGCTGCCTCTGATTGGGAACCACACCGGCCAACATAGATCCACACATGCTAGATATACAACATAGAATATATACAAACAAAGAATACACACACCCTGACTCAACATATAAGAGTCCCCTGAGTCAGGGCGTGACAGTACCCCCCCCCCAAAGGTGCGGACTCTGACCGCACTACATAAACATAATAGGGTAGGGGCCGGGTGGGCATTCCGCCTCGGAGGCGGATCCGGCTCGGGGCGTGACGACCTCTCACTGTTGCGCCCCTGGTCTGGTCTGGACCTCGGCGCGCTACTTCCCCTCTCCTTCCTCCCACGATACGCCAGGCCCTGTCTGGACCCTGGTGTGGGAGACCCCGAACCTGGAGAGGGGCTGACGTCATGGTCTGGACTGGAGCCGCTGACCGGAGCTGGACTAGACCCCGGTGGAGCGGACTGCTCTGGCTCCGGAGTGGAACAGCTGACCGGAACTGGATCAGGCACCGGTGGAGCGGACTGCTCTGGCTCCGGAGTGGAGCAGCTGACCGGTGTCGGACCAGGCACCGGTGGAACGGGCACGGGCCTTGCCGGACTGGACAAAAGCACCACTGGTCTGGTGCGAGGAGCCAGAACAGGCCGGGCCGGACTGGCGACGCGCACCACTGGCTTGGTGCGAGGAGCAGGAACAGGCCGGGCCGGGCTGGCGACACGCACCACTGGCTTGGTGCGAGGAGCAGGAACGGGCCGGGCCGGGCTGGCGACGCGCACCACTGGCTTGATGCAAGGAGCAGGAACAGGCCGGGCTGGCGACGCGCACCACTGGCTTGGTGCGAGGAGCAGGAACAGGCCGGGCCGGGCTGGCGACACGCACCACTGGCTTGGTGCGAGGAGCAGGAACGGGCCGGGCCGGGCTGGCGACGCGCACCACTGGCTTGGTGCGAGGGGCAGGAACGGGCTTTGTGCGAGGGGCAGGAACTGGCTTGGTGCGAGGAGCAGGGCCGGGCTGGCGACGCGCACCACTGGCTTGGTGTGAGGAGCAGGAACGGGCCGGGCCGGGCTGGCGTCGCGCACCACTGGCTTGGTGCGAGGAGCAGGAACGGGCCGGGCCAGGCTGGCGACGCGCACCACTGGCTTGGTGCAAGGAGCAGGAATGGCCCGAGCCGGACTGGCGACGCGCATCACTGGCTTGGTGCGAGGAGCAGGAACGGCCAGACTGGCGACGCGCACCACTGGCTTGGTGCGAGGAGCAGGAACGGGCCGGGCCGGACTGGCGACGCGCACCACAGGCTTGGTGCGAGGGGCAGGAACGGGCCGGGCCGTACTGGGAACACGCACCACTGGCTTGGTGCGGGGAGCAGGAACGGGCCGGACCGGACTGGCGACACACACCACTTGCTTGGTGCGAGGAGCAGGACTGGGTTCCTTTATTAACCCCCGCTCCTTCTGCTGCCTAACCAGCTCCTCTCGCCGTGCCTCTACTCTTTCCTTCTCCCTTTTAGCCTCCTGTAGCGCCTCCCTCTGACCGAATAATTCCTGCTCCCTCTGAACCAATAGCCCCCGTAACATGGTGGCCTCCTCTCCTAACCTGCAGATCCGCCCTTTAACGGCCTCCTGCTGCCTCGTCTTCCACACTGTGTGCCCCCCCAAAAACAAATTCTTGGGGTTGCCTCTCGGGTCTCCGTCGTCGGCACTGTTGGCGCCGTTTCTCCTCTCCTACCTGGGCATCCTCCTTCATCGCCTTCCGATAACGGACGGCCTCCTCCTCCGTAATTCTCCCCCAACCGAGGAGGACATCTACTAATGTAACCTCCTGTTGAGTCCCAGGCGTTTGCTCCTTCTCGGCACGCTGCTTGGTCCTTGTTTGGTGGGATCTTCTGTCACGTTCGTTTAATGACGGGTCAGACCAAGGCGCAGCGTGATATGCGTACATGTTTATTAACATAATAAACAACACGACAAAACAACAAACTAAACGAAACGTGAAGTCCAAGGTAGTACAGAACAACAAACCTTAAAAGGAACAAGATCCCACAACTAGACAGTGCCAATAGGCTGCCTAAGTATGGTCCCCAATCAGAGACAACGATCGACAGCTGCCTCTGATTGGGAACCACACTGGCCAACATAGATCTATACATGCTAGATCCCACACATAGAAAAAGCACAACAAGGAATATACACAACCTGACTCAACATATAAGCGTCCCCTGAGTCAGGGCGTGACGAACATAGACTTCCAGGCGCTAGTGAATCAAGTGCACCTACCATCAACAGCGTGAAACAAATAAAAATAATTGGAACGCAAGGTTTTATCGTTGGGTTTTTTACAGAAATGTTTGGTGATCGACTAGGAATGGTTTGGAGGTCGACCAGTCGATCGCGATCGACCGGTTAGTGACCACTGGTCTAAAGGCTTAAACATCCTTCTTAAACCTGTCTCCTCCCCTTCATCTACACTGATTGAAGTGTGTTTAACAAATTACATCAATAAGGGATCATAGCTTTCAACTGGATTCACCTGCTCAGGCTATGTCATGGAAAGAACAGTTTATAGCAGAGCACATGAGAACAGGCTCTTAGGGTCTCATCTGGTCAGCATCCATGCAGATGTCAAAGAGGTGAAGAAAAGCCCAAACCTCCTTTGTAAGAACCCTTTAATCCCTGAAGCATAGTAATCCGTGGCTAACCTGAGATTCTGGTTAAGAAGAGTAATCTATAGGATTCCCCCTCAGGAAGAAACTCACTGTTATCCTAGACAGAGTGGGA